AGGCAACTCATGCGCATCACGTTTACACACGTGTTGCGATTTTTCTTTGGTTTTTTTTTAGGTAGTGCAATTCGCATTTTTTACTGCAATGGGACAGTTTGTTTTGATGTGCTTGGATGCAGGCGACGCATTCTAATCACTGGAATTACCACTTTATTTATATTTTCCAAACTGCTGCATTTTTACCCGTACTTCGTGTAGCAGCAACAGCTATTAACTCCTTTTACATTTTCGGTTTTGTGTGCTCCATTGATTTCTGATGCATGTCACTGTTGTCATTTCTGTCGGTAACGCTTTAGTAAATCTTAGTGCCTATGCCGTTGTTGACATTGCTATTAATTAAATATTTTTAATTCTATTTTTAAATAACTGAACTACTAGCCTGCTACAGTTTGTGCACGGATTGCCATGAACTTGTTACAATTAATTTCAAATTTCAGTGATTTTTATATTATATATATTTCAAAGTTCAAAACAGTGGATATTACATAAAATAATAAAAATTTCTTCCTACTCTTTCCTACTCGTTTTATGTTATCATCATAATCTATACTTCTATACTTCTATGTTCTATAAACATAACGATTAGTGGGTCAATATAACAAAATCCAGGGCATTAATTCCTCAATGAAGTATATTAAAAGCATTTCTTTATACACTATTCACTTCTAACATATACATACTGATCACATATCTAGTGCTTCTTATACTGATATGCTAGTGACCTCTAAAAGAACCAATACCGAAAAATTATCGAAAAATGTATAAAAGTAGTAAATGCAATAAAATTAACATACAAACTCAAATTTTAAGATTGATTTGGAAAGGTGGATGTTACATAAATGACATGACACTCCTAGGAACAGAAAGGAAAAACAACACAGCTAAAAATAAACTTTTAAAAATAAAGCCCAGCTGAAACATTTGTAGTTCTAAGGAAATTAGTTATCTGCATTATTAAATATAATTCTTCAAATATTGAAGAATTGTATAAAGATTTGAATTGTATAATTGTATAAAAACGTTAAGATTATTACTAATTCGTCATAGTTCATTAAGAACTTAATGTATATAAAGGAATTAATTGCATATCATCAAAGACTGCATATTCATGTCCACCCATGTAGTATTTTTTTCAACGAAACTAATAAAAAGAGAAATTTAAAATGGACCAACATTTTAGATTTTTTTTCCCTCTTAGAAACAAATGTATCAATATTATCATCATCGGCACTACAACTCACGTCCGGTATTGACGGCATTTACATCTTTCTCAATTGCGAATTAATAACTTCAGTTAGTCGGACCTATATTCTGAGAGTCTTGTTCTATGCCACATTTCCAGCGCAAACATAAAATTTGCCATACTCTTGCTGCAAAGAGTATTTCGAGTAATTTTCTCTTTGCTCCAGCTGCCTCGATGACTCCAGTCGGAACTATATTTCCAGAGTTCTGATATACGCCGCGTAGACATCAGCGTACACATAAAATTTGCCATAATATTTTCTGCAAAGAATATTTCGAGCAGTTTTCTCTTAACTCATACGAGCTAAAATGTCGCACTCATCGATATCTACCAAGCAACAAATGAGGTTATGAACAATGCGTGGGGCTAACAATTTTCAGTAGTTAATTTCTTTCAAACGTAGCTAAAAGCTCAAAGTCTTTTTTGCGGAACACCAAAATCTTAGATTTATACAAGAATACTCGTATACCATTATCTCATAGAGCAATAGATAAGACGTTATGGTAATGTTTCTGAATTTAAAAAGCTTTGGCTTCTTTAAATTTCACCAATCTTCTCTTTATTTCTTCATTTATATTATTATCAGCTGCTATAATTAATCCAATTAATCCAATTAATCCAAATAATTAATTGGGTCAATTGGACTCACAAGCTTTTGTTAAATATTGTTGCTTTAAACAAATTTATTTATTTTTTTATATAAAATCGATTGTAAATTAATTATTAATAAAAAATATATATGCAAGTATATGAGCATGTATATCTAGTATACTAAATGCCAGCAAAAGAACAGAAGCTCAACTAAAATTCTGTGTTTATTTTTAAAATATGAATTATAAATAAAAATTTTTTAAATATATTATCATTATATGTATGTTACTTATTACCACAAAAATATTTACATTTTGATATTGTCATATATTAATTAAAAAAATATTATTTATGTATCATAACCATAAATGCCAGCATGCATTTTTTGCCACACTTGCGAGCCACCGAAAAGGCCTATTGCCATTAGTATATATTATATTTTCCATTATATTTAATTGCTATAAGATAAATATTTTCTTATCAGTATAATAAATAGTAAAGTCAATGATTTTTTTAAATATAAAATGTATGTGTTAAATTTCCTTAAATATGAATACCTACATATATTTAATTTCCTATAAATTTCAATTATTTCCTATAATCAAGACATCTTTTAAAATAAACAAATTTTCAAGCTAAGCTGTTACGCTCTATTAAATTAACAATTCTTTCAGATTATTCTTGACACGTAATAAACATTTCAGTTGCCGTAGTCCCTGTTTCGTTTCCATTATGCTACCCTAAATATCTAATAACCAAGAATAAAATCCAAAAAGTCGACGTTTAATTACCGGAAATCGCACTTGGCACATGAATTTCAATATGAAAATTGAAAAAAATACTGGCGCTGTGAAACAAACTTGAGTTCCACCTGAACTACCATCACTTGAGACTATTTAACATACATATATAAAGATATATTTTGTTGTTTGGATTGTTGTTGTTTATCATAATTAATTTTGAATTAAATTTTTCTATATAATGTACAATTTTTTTAATATGTGTATATTGTTGCCAAACCGTCTGCGACAGTGCTTAAGTCAACAACCCGTTTCCAAGCAATCCATTTTACGTACTTTACATATTTCTTGTGAGGAAATGCTTAAATAGGCGCTTGTTGGTTGGACAACTTCTTTGTACTCATATGCGTCAGGTCAAGAAGTTAAGATAGTATAATGTATTCTTTAAATGCTGTTAGCAGAGACTAATTTGTAATTCATAAATTCTTATAAAGACAAAATTGTTGGGTTGATGTGTCTTATTTGTATGCTATAAATAGGGTAAATGAAGCAATTTGCAAACACTACAGAACGACAACTCCATAATAACTTTCTTCAGTATGCATTCAACTAAGTACTTAATATGAAATAAAAAGAAATGTTTTATGCTAAATTATTCTTTACGATTTCTAAGCAAACTTGTAAACACTTTAAAATTTATTGAAGAAACCTATATTTTTTGAAGATTAACATTTCATATTAAATAATATAAAAACTTTTTAATAGTAATCGGTTAAACATTAAAAGTAATTTATCTCTCTGGAAAAAATAAATGTTATTAATTCTAAACTGTTTAGTTTTAATTCTAAATATTATGGCACGTTTCCACTGGCTTCATTAGACAACTTACTGGAGATTCATACAAAGGGGTGCACAATGGATCATGCTGGTCCCTGTGCATAAAGGTCTTAGTCTAACCCATAAACCAATACATTACATTACTTGAGATTCAAATAATTCAAGCAATCTCAATCTTACTTGAATCTCAAGACTTTGCCAAGGCTTCCTCACACTCACTTCTCAAATATTGGTGTTCCACTTGCAACAATTAATCTGGCCATCAAACAACAATATCTGAACAGTCGACTACTATTTAATTTCAATGCAATACACATATATACTTGCATCGTAAGTTGACGTTCACAATCTTATATACATACTTATGTTCACCGCCGTATATGTCCACTTGGGAGATCACCGCTGTATATATTCACTTGGTTGCATCCATGAGACTTGGTATAGTGTATTTTAGTAAAGAAGGATTGCGGCACAACAACAAAATACATTGTAATACCTCTGTTAGTTATTTTTTAGTATGTATTTTGTTGTTATTTCTTTATTATTAAATTATTATTCGCACTGTGACCATCGGGCCTATTGTCCCTACCTCTCAGCGTCAATAAAAGTTTTTCTTTTGATAAGCCTATACAATCCTGTACCTATATAATTGTATAGGTATCAATAAGTGATTTGGATTGTGCTTACCCTGGTAGGCTATTCCAGTATTCCTTTTTGTTTTGGTTCTCTTTCATTTTTATGGGAAAGAGGAAGGCACTCTGTCCTAGTCTACAGAATGGTTCGGCCCCCATCAGCGGTATAGCTGCTCCTTTCCTGGCTAGTTTCTCTGCGTATTCATTTCCCCGTACGAAAGTATATCGCGGTACCCAGATAATCGATACCTGATTTAATTCGCTGAGCAAGTTTAGCACTTCAACGCATTCTCGCATCAGTCTTAAGGTCAGCTGATGCCAGTTTAGTGCCTTGATAACCGCTCGGCTGTCTGTTTGTTATTCCGTAATTTACAATATTTAGGTTTCCCAATGCTTCCTAATTCCCTTCAAATTTTCTATTTCCAGAAAAAATCGATAAAATATTAAAATTTCCTTGACGTGTGAAAATATTTAATATTTATAAAGTACATTTACCACTAATTAATATTTTCTGAAAAAATCGATTAAATATTTAATTTTTCTTAAGGTGCGGAAATATTTATTTTTTAAAAAGTACATTTAGCATTAATTACCATTTCGTATTTTCTAATAATTATTTCAATTCTTATTCTTAATTTTTATTAAAAAATTTAAAAAATAAAGAAGAAATATGATATATGTATGTAAAATGTGATATGTATATGTTTTTTATTTTTTTTTTTTTTTATTAAAAAGACTTTTTAAGGTCATTGACTTGTTGACATTCAATGTCAATTATGCTTTCCTTCCTGTTACATCTTGTCGCCTTGCTTTCACGGTCGCTTTTTTTTCTTTTTAGATTTTGTAATAAATAAAAATGTTGACATTAATGACAGTGCATAAGTGCATAATGCAAATGAGGGGAAGTACAAATTGTTTGGGTATCGCCTTTAAAAAATTTGTGATTAAAATTAAGACAACATTTTTTATATAAATTTAATTTATTTATAAGATACTATATTAATAATATTATAATTAAAATATAATAAAAATAATTAAATAATATAATTAAAATAATAAAAAAAATAGTAAAATCTTATAATTTTTTAAT